AAATCTTAAAAAAAAAGGAGTTGGAATTCAAACCTTGGCAGTCTGGTGCCAAAATCCATGCTCTTAACCATTATGTATCCTACCTGTCTGTCCATGATCTGGTCTGCATCCCCAGCCTTGGAACAATGTCTGTCAATGTTGTATGTTAAATGCATTAATACATTGTGTTGAATTCAAAAATGCCATACTGTTAAATGATCATATGTACTGTTATGAAAAGATTTTCATAACATGTTGAGTACAGCAAATATATAATATTATGCATTCTGATCCTCTTTTCAGAAACAAAAATTATTTACACACAAAGGATATGTGACGTCTACAAAATATTTATATATATGTGTGCTGGGGGGGGCATAGAGAAAAATCTGGAAGATTAAACATCTTCATGATCATCTCTAGGGACCATGATTGGTAGGGTAAGGGGGATTAAAAAATACTTAAATACATAAATATTTAAATATTAAATATATATTAAATATATACATATATTAAATATTTTTAAAAATATTAGTTAAGAGTAAGTGCTTTCTTAATAACATAACAAGTTCTAAGGAAAATTTTTAAAACTTTTGACAAAAATAAACGTCCTTTTCCTCTTGTTCTGTAGTCTTAAATTATAGTTTCAAAATAATACTTTAAAAGTCCTGACCTTTGTAAATCTGTAAATGAATTAAAGCAATTGTTTCTTTTTTTTTTAAATAAATGTGTTCTTTATTGGTGTTCAATTTGCCAACATATAGAATAACACCCAGTGCTCATCCCATCAAGTGCCCCCCTCAATGCCCGTCACCCAGTCACCCCACCCCCCGCCCACCTCCCCTAAAGCAATTGTTTCTTACTTCATTTGTTCTTAAGTTTTGCAATGTGTTTCTGATCAGGATGTCTTCATTTACTTTTATTCTTTCCTAAGTTGGTGTGGAGAGTGAGACAGGGCTACATTCTCACAGTTGAGAGCTAAATAGATCACCCTATGAATTATCACACAATAGCTTTATGCCATTATGACTGATGTAATTATTATATGTGTGACATCAGGATGTCCTATCACATTACAAAAGTCTTCATGCTGTGATATAACTAACTCTTGGGATTTATTTATTTATTTATAAATATTTTATTTATTCATTCATGACAGACACACAGAAAGAGGCAGAGACACAGGCAGAGGGAGAAGCAGGCTCCCTGTGGGGAACCTGATGTGGGACTCATCTCAGGACCTCAGGGGCACACCCTGAGCCAAAGGCAGATGCTCAGCCACTGAGCCACCCAGGTGTCCCTACTCTTAGGATTTTAGCATTGAATATGTAAACTTTTATTTTCCAGCGTCTGACTTTTGCATTTCATCCCAGATAAGGGCAGTATTAATTCATAGGCTGGTTGGCGTATCAAGGTAGAAAGATGTGTGCATGGAGTTTTCTTTAAACATGGGCTTCCTCGAGGGTTGTTGAGCTCATTCACCTCCTTCAGGAAAGTACATTTGAGGAGCAAGGTCAGCTGAGGTTGGAGGTGTGTATGCTGATCTCTTATTATTGAAGCATTCCAAGAATGCAGTGTCTTGTACTTCAAAGTTGCATAATAAATATGTTTGGCACCAATGTGTTTGACTTCACTTTGTAGTGTGGCCTCTCAGGGACAGGCTATTTTTCTGAGAGCCCAGAGGTCCCATCATTGTGCCAGATCACAGGAAGGTACATGAAAAGCTAGAGGAGGGTAGGGCAGAGACCAGAGGGCCTGGGCACCAGAGTGGACAAACTTCCTTTGCCTGCACAGATTCTCAGCCCTGCCTCCACATCAGAACCACCTGGGGATCTTTAAAAATGTCCATGCCTGCCTCACCCCAGACCAATTGGGTTGGAATCACTGGGATTTGGGCCTAGACAGCATTTTTTTTTTTTAATAAAGCTATCATAATGGGTGGCCATGGTTGAGAACCGCTGGCTTACATGTAGCACATTGTGGCTTCTAGAAGCGCCTCTGCACATTAGGAAGGAAGTGGGGGCTGGGTATCCACTGGAATGGGTGGACTCACAATATGTCACATCCCCAGGGGAGGCTGAGATCCATTACTTCTCGACCTCTGATATGCTCCCCTGCTGCGCGAATACAAATGGAAGGTGGTCCTGCTGAGCGGTATTAAAGAGCAAATTAGAGGGCCTGAGGAAAGCTAAATATCTCTTATTCATACAAAGCACCCTCAGTTGGGGCCAAGAGGGTTAGAGCAGAGCTGGTTCTATTTATTCGGTCCAGCAGAGTTTGCAATATCATTTCATGATACATTTTCTCATGCCTGGGAGGTGGGCATTATTGCCATTTGATAAGGAACCTGCGCTGGAAGGATCTGAGGGCCAAGATCACACAGCTGTATTGTGGCCAAGTAGAACCAGAATCTGTGTGGCTACCAATGTCACGGCTCACCTTACGTCTCCACAGCAGCCTTAGAAACAATCTTTGATTTTAATAGTTCCTGCTTCAACTTTTAAGACAAGACCCTAGTTCTCTTGAATCCTTTATGGACATCTGGACTTCTGGCAAGAGGTTAGTAAGAAACCAACCAGGGAAGATATCAGCCAAAGGAGCAAGGAGAAACACCCAGCAACCCACTTTTCCTATTCTCTCATATAGGGATCATTTTCATTAAAACCATCTATAAACTCCTAGGGTCTCTTTAATATAGCAATAGCTGACATGAGCAGAACACGTACTCTATGCCACTCACTAGACTTTTTGAAGATTAATTTTAGTCCTTCCATCAACTATATGGCATAGGTACTATTATTTTTTTTAATGTAAGTACTATTATTGATTCCCGTTTTATAGATGGGGAAACTGGGGTTCCGGGAGCTTAGGCAGCTTGCTTAAAGTCACACAGCTAGTGGATAGTAAAGCCCAGATTTGAATCCAGTGTGGGGCGGGAGCTCACATACTTACCTGTTATACCGGGCTGACTCTTAAGAGTTACAGCCCTGTTCATCTGAGTTCTCAGCCTGACTCTGGGCCCCTACCTTTTCTGTTTCTTTAATTATAATAATTCTTTACACTTACTGTGCCTCTATCAGACATTAGGTGTTGTTCCAAGGGCTTTACAAGTTTTATCTTATTTAATTCCTTGATGCTGGAGAGTGGACCCCAAGGAAACCCACAGAGAGGCTCCTGTCCCTAGAGAGGCTCCTGTTCCTAGAGAGGCTCATGTCCAGCTGACAGCTGTTCTTACCAGCGCCTTTCTTTCTGCAAGGTTCCCTTGTCCCCTTTCTGAAGCTGCTAAAGGACTATGTCAGACTTCTGATGACTGGAGAAGAGAAATCCCTCTCCCCCATCTGTCCTCACGGTTAGAACCCTCTGGTCAGCTCTCCGTCCGGGTTCCTGGTGGTGGTGCCTCAGATCGCCTCCCCTTGGGTTAGTCTTGCCTCTGCCCATAGCCTTCTCACATCATCCACACAGACATAGCCAGGCCAATCAGACCTTTAAACGAAATCCTGATTGGTCTCTGTGTGACTGGGCTAAGCAAGGGGTTGCAGGATTTCATTCTGAGCTGAAGCAATGAGATCCTTGCTTGCTGAGCCCGGTTGACCGACCATCAAATGAGCCACAACCCCCAGTGAACACTCACTGTCATATCCAACTGTGAGCCTCCCCAGAGCCACTTTGAGCTCCTTCCAGATCGCTCTGGAGGATTCACTTAGGGCCAGATGTCCTGTCATTCACAGCTCTTACATCCAGCTCTTCTCTGTCATAAAGATTTTCCTCCGCCATTTTCTTCTGTCTGTGGCATCATTCCCTGGCTCCTCTCGTGGCTGGATCATTCTAGAACTTAGGTCTTACTCAGCTCAGAATCTCAGAGTCCTTCCTATGATCACTTGGGTTTAAAGGAAGCACTATTCTTTTCTGCACTCACCCACTTTCTCTTTTTGTTTTAATATTTTATTTCTTTATTTGAGAGAGAGACAGAGCACAAGCAGGGGGAAGAGCAGAGGCAGAGGGAGAAGCAGACTCCCCACTGAGCAGGGAGCCCAATGCTGGGCTCCATCCCAGGACCCCAGGATCATGACCTGAGCTGAAGGGAGACACTTAAGCTACTGAACCACCCAGGCACCCCCTCACCCACTCTCTTAACATCACTTTTATTTCCTTTACACACTCTGTAATCATTGGGTTTATTCCTTTACTTATTTACAGTCTGCATTTCCATGAAAATGTAAATTGGAAGAGTGGTTTGTTGATATTGTTGTTGTTTCACTCACTGCCCTGCTTTGTAGCTACTTCCAGCATGGTGCCTGACACATATGAGGTGCTCAATAAATATGTAAAGAGATATGAAAGAAGTAAAGACCCCTCTGTCGTTGAGGTTGATGGTATTGATTCTACAGCCAGAAGCTCATTTTTTGTCATCCCACCCCTGCCAATGACCTTTTCTCATTTACCTCTTCCTTATCTCCCCAATCAATTCATCCTTGTTTAGGGTTTTGTTGCTATTGTTTGCATTGGCTAAACCACTCTGGGCCTGTGTGCTTCTTCTCAGTTTCCTTGTGGTGAATAAAGTTGCTGTTGTCCTTGTGAACACCTCTTAGTGAATTAAATCAGAAAGGCAGTTTGGGCAAGCTGTCACCGAGGAGGGTGAATTCTTTGCTATGTGTCTTTGGGAATCTGTTGGTCAAATGCAAGTTTCAACAGCTGAAAAAAATATGACCGTGCCCTAGGCATAGTGTGCTGGGTTTGTAGGGGGCATACAGAGGCAAAGCTTCTATATTTAGTGGGTTTTCTGGCTATTGGCAGGGAAAGACTGAACTGAGCAAGATAGATACTAGCATTGTGAGGCAAATACTAATTTAAGATAAGAGACAACCAGCACTTTGCTTGTCATGGGGAGCAGTCACTGAGGTCTGGGAAGGCTTTATGAGATGTCATCAAGGCAGTAAAAGACACGGGATCAGGATAAGTTGGCTTGAGTGTGTTCTTTTGCTTAGTACTCTGTGTGGTCACTAGCTTCTCTGTCCCTTTAGGTAGACCCAGCAATTGCTCCTGTAGTTCTCTGGCTGCAAGGAGGGCCAGGAGGTTCATCCATGTTTGGACTCTTTGTGGAACATGGACCTTTTTTTGTCACAAGTAACATGACCTGTAAGTACTGCTTGGACTCTATTTTCCTATGGAGAAGTTTTCACCTGAACCTTGTATCTGCTCCGGAAAAAATTGAAAGTGTACATGAAACCACAAGGAATAGCTTAATAGTTTTCAATTAGAAAAACATAGCTGTCTGGCAATGTCGATCCAAGAAGGAGGAGCCACCATAGTGAACATCTTGGCTGTGCTGCTTCCTCCCCTTGAAATTTGGGTGAAAGGTTCTAAGCTGTTTTCTTGCAGTCAGCTGCTGACTCAAGCAATCTGGGCTTAGGAAAACAGTTGGTATCTATTACTATTTGGGCGAGTCCTTTTGCATGAGACTAATGGGTGGAATCATATCCCTAATTATTCACACAAACTGAACACTTTATGGTTCAGTTGCATGCAGGATCAGATATCTTGGAAGCAAGATGCTGTGGGTCAGGGGTGGGGGGAGAAAGGGGGGGTTGGGTCAGAGGAAGGAGCGGAGGAACCATACCTGGCTGTAACCTGGTTTCCCTCCATCTCGTTTTCAGGGGATAAGGGAGATTGTTTACTTTTCCTGGGTCAGAACTTGGAGGGTGAATTATTCTGTGACTCAGGTATAAAAGCACCAGGCGGCCCCGGTGGCGCAGTGGTTTAGCGCGGCCTGCAGCCCGGGGTTTGATCCCGGAGACCCGGGATCGAGTCCCACATCGGGCTCCCTGCATGGAGCCTGCTTCTCCCTCTGCCTGTGTCTCTGACTCTCTCTCTCTCTCTCTGAATTAAAAAAATAAATAAATAAATAAATAAATAAATAAATAAATAAATGCATGTATGCCAATTCTGTTGGAGTTGATCTCTTTAGCATAGGCTAGGGGTAAAAGGATTCAGAAGGACCGGATAGTTAAGAATGGTTGATTGGATCAGACAGATGGGTTTATCCTATAGGTGGTTGATGAATATTTTCATTGAACCAGGTGCACGGGGTCTTTTTTCCAAACTTCATTCTAGATGTAGAAACCCTCTGAGTCCAGGAAAAGTAAAGGAGAGGAGAGGAGAAGAAAAAGGTACTGGTGTCTGTTCTCCACTGTGAAAGTATGAAGCAACGTTAGAGGGATACCAGGAGTTCATTCATATGATGGGGACAGGTGGGCTTGTTGGGCTCCTGAGCAGACCTAGGTCCTAGGTGGGATATTTCGTTAAAGACCCAGTCTCAAACCTCTTCTCTGTTTTACTAGTGCGTGCCAGAGACTTTCCTTGGACCACCACACTCTCCATGCTTTACGTTGATAATCCAGTGAGTATCTATCAAATGTCACTGTGGGCCTTTCTTGTCTTTTTTCTTTTTATAAAGTACTTTTAAGAAATAGGGGAGGAAGGGCAATAGAGACTTAGAGTCTTTTTACTTTTTAAAATAGAATTCAAAACATAAATAAATAAGTAAATAAATAAATAAATAAATAAATAAAAATGAATTCAATCTGTTCAAAAACACACTTGAGATTTAGCTTTTCTAACATGTATCATTAAATCCAAGTTTGGGAATTTTGCTTGCTACTTGTCTCCTTCTCTCATTTTTAATCTTATGAAATGTCCTGTTCAGTGATTTACAGCATCTAGGGTAAGGGATTAGTTTCTTTCCACTGATGATATAATATCCTGTGTTATTATGTAGTATTAGAATTCCTAATCTTTTTAACAGAGTTCTAGGTTTAAAAAGTCAAAACCAGTCTCCTTCATTTATCACAGTGAGCCTCATCTAGGAACAAAAAGTGGAATTCTTTTTGGGATGTTCTTCTGAAATGGAGTCCAGTCAACAGCAAAATAAAAGAGTAACTTTAGGATAAGCTTCTGTTGATCAGGAGGATCTTTAACCCCTAACTAATTTCTTTGATTTCTCTCACTTTCCAGATGGTTCAAAGAGGAAACATAAATAGGGAAAAAAGGAGTTGAACATACTCATTCCTGCCTTTCCCACCAAGTTTTGTCAACCATCCTCTTTCCTAGTTTATAATTACATATTTATGTTGCATGAGCTGAATGAAATGTCGTTGTTCCCTTGTGTGTTTGGGGAAAACAAAAACAAAAGCAAAAATACTTAGGCCTGGTTGAGGTGCATCCCTTTCAGAAATTATTGACACAAACTACATTGCTAGCTTCTTAATTTTATAGCTTAATTGTCTATGAATCTCTAGGCATAAGGAAACATTAGTTTAAAACTAATCTTTATTTTAAAACCTACCTAACTGAAGGTGAAGGGGCTTAATGGCCATATTTCTCACAAATGAAAAAGCAAAACACACACACACACACACACACACACGCACTCTTTTTCTCTCCAGCCTAGAGAGTTCCTTCTTGTCAGAACAGAGCAATACACTCTCCAGGTTTCAGAGAGGAGATAACTTTGGGTCTTCTGATACTGCTATGGGGGCCAGGAAATGTGAATTCCTCCCCCTTAAATCAACATCTGATAGGGTCCCCACTCTGGAATCAAGAAAGTTCACTCCCTGACCTCAGGGCAGAGCTTTGTGCTGATTTTTTTTTTTTAAAGAGAGAGAAAAAGAGCACAAGGGGGGTGATGAGAAGCAGAGGGAGAGGTAGAGAGAGAGCATCCCAAGCAGACTTGACACTGAGCGAGGAACCTGATACTGGTCTCCATCTCACGACCCTGAGATCACAACCGGAGCTGAAACCAAGAGTTGGATGCTCAGCCAATGAGCACCCAGGCACCCCTATGCTGATATTGTATTTGGGTTTGGAGGAGAGGAGAGGAAAAAGGTGAAATTCAGTATCCTTTTGTGAGGATGGCTAAATGTACCTGGGGTAGAGGAGAAATCTGAGGTCAGAGGCTTGGCCTTTGGAATAAGGTTGATTTCCTTCTGGTGTGGTAGCTCCCTGAGAGATCCAGGGCATGTGCTTCTCTGTGTTTACACCTGCTTATTTATTTCACCTTCAGGTGGGCACAGGTTTCAGTTTTACCACCAGCCCCCAGGGATATGCAGTCAACGAGGATGATGTGGCACGGAATTTATACAGGTAAAAGGACCAGGCTTCCTCTTGGCTTTCTTCACACCAAATGTTTTTCTGTTTCAATAGGGAGATTCATCTAATAGTATAAGTATCACTGATTGGCCCTCGTGATCTCATTCTTAAAGACATTTTAAGAACACTTCTAAGGCAGCCCCAGTGGCTCAGTGGTTTAGCACCGTCTTTGGCCCAGGGTGTGATCCTGGAGTCCCAGGATCAAGTCCCACATCAGGCTCCCTGCATGGAGCCTGCTTCTCCCTCTGTCTGTGTCTCTGCCTCTCTCTCTTTCTCTCTGGGTCTCTCATGAATAAATGAATAAAATTTTTTAAAAAGAATACTTCTACATGAGGAGTTCACATCCACATACATGCGCATGCACATTTAGTTTATTTTCCCCTTTGTTTTCTTATCACTGAAAATTGTGAAACTGGGCAGCAGGGAAAATGACAAGGAAGGCCGGAATCCTAAGGCATGATTGTAATCTTATAAAAATAGCCTTTAAGAAACAATAGAAACAGAGCAGAATAATTCCACCAAAGATGATTTTCAAACTTTTCAGCCAGATGCCTGAGAGGATTTTGCTTTCTTTCCAGCATTGCATTTTAACTTTGCATTTGCTTGGAAACATCTTCTTAGATGCTTGCTTGTTTCTTTTCTCTCTCCCCTTTCTTCCCATTCATGATTCCCATGCTCAGATTGTTACTAGTCTCTTATTTTTTTATTTCGTCTCACAAAGTTAATCTTTTACCAAAAAGAAGAAAAAAATGGAAGGAAAATGTAAAGTTGTAAGCCTGGTCAAACAGTGTACATATAATTTTTTTTCCTTACTCATATTTGTTATAGCTATTTTTAGTACTTTTTTTTTTTTATAAGTAAGTGACCGTTCTTATTTGGTCACATTTTTCCAGTCTGTAAATTATTACTAGAGATCAAGCCCTGAATTCTTTGAGGTCATTCGGGCCCCATGTTATGCATCATAATAATTTTCTCAAAGAATCCTAGTGGCTTGAAAGAGTTAACCAGTTTCCCTATTGCCGGGTTGCAGCAAACACTCCTTCTGCATGGTGAGCAAACCCAACCCATCCCTAAAGTGAAAGTAAATCTAATAGAAGTCATAGTGTTTTGATCTCTGACAGAAGTTTTCCGTTTTATTTTTCTTTCTCCCTAAGGCAGATGGCTGGGGGAACAGAGGAAAGAGGAGCTTCCGGCCTTTCTTCCAGAGATATTTCTCTCTCTCTTCTTTGCTGACCCAGAAAACAATATGGCTGCTGTTTTCTGCACTTTCATTTGTTCTGTGTCCCATTATTTTAACACTTCCATTCAGTTTACCAGGGGGATAGCTAAGACCCCACACTTTTGCTTCCAGGTTCAGTGAGTCCTGGGGAGCATATTAGCCAGATTTCCACAGGAATCCCCCTTCTCCGGCCCAAGCTCAGGCACCTCTTCTTCCCCTATAGAGATATAATTGTGATGGCTGTCCTTACAAGTTTACTCAAGCACCGTGAGCGGTGACTGTGTGTTCTCATTTTACAGATAGAAAACCTCTCTACCCCCTCTGACCATCTTTTGGTTTAAATCTAAACAAGCTCAGTTGTTTAACTAGCAAACACCCAGAGGGCGGAGGTTCTGTCGTGGAGAAATGCATCAGTCCCCTCTAAGCCAGAGCATGCAACCCTGCCATTCCTTTTCTGTCACTCGTTCCCCTCCCCCAAAGATGGTCCCAACTTCCCATTGACCTTCAATGTGGATATTTACTGCTGACATGTGGTACATCTCCTCTTGCATGACATGTAAAGAGAACCTATTTCAAAGCATCCATTGTTTATAGCTGTTTTAGTTCTTTTTGCTTCAGGCTCTTAGAACTGGAAAATAGCTAATCAAGGGTAGTGCAGAAAACTGATTTCAGCTGTTTCCTTTATAGTTTACACTATTTGTTTCCCTTTGTGACTACATTCTTCTCTCCAGCTCTCCAGATGGGTGTTTGGAATAAGGTCACTTTGAAACCTATAAATGGGTTACTACAGGTTTAAAGAGTGGACCTTCTTTTTCTCTCCCTTTAAAAACTAGCTTTTTTCTTCTTTTTTCTTTTCTTTCCTTTTTCTTTTCTTCCCCCCAACCCCCTGAAAATCCTATTCCTTTTGACTAGTAATAGTCCATGGCTGTAAGGAGTAGACTCTTAACGAGGCATTTGACATTCACAACGTAGGCTGCTTTTCTTTGTGTTTGGAAGTAAAACTTTTTTTTCTTTTTTTAAAACATTTTTATTTATTTATTAGAAACAGAGAGAGAGAGAGAGGCAGAGACACAGGCAGAGGGAGAAGCAGGCTCCATGCAGGGAGCCTGACGTGGGACTCAATCCCGGGTCTCCAGGATCACGCCCTGGGCTGAAGGCGGTGCTAAACCGCTAAGCCATTGGGGCTGCCCTTTTTTTGTTGTTTTTACTAACAACATATTTAAATATTCAATTTTGGGGGTATTTGGAACATGCTATTGAGCCTTAATGCCCCTCTGGTTTAAGTAATAAAAATAAATAAATGTACTAAAAAATAATACATTTATTAACTGATTTGGAATATGCTATCTAGTGCCATTCTCCTTCTGCCACTATTTATCAATTGCCTGCTCTTTGCCAGACACAGTTTCTGCTGCAGGTGATAGATCAGTCAAGGAGCCCTGAAGTCCTTGCTCTGGTGCTTACCGTCTAGTAGCCAGTCTGGTAGCATGCCTCAAGTTAGTTTCTTAGCAGCAGATGGAAATGATAGTATTATTCTATTCCACCTGTTAGTTTGTATAGGAAATAGTATCAATTGCTAAACAAAATTTCATGACAATGACCATGAAATAGGTTTCATATATTAAATGAGAACACTGTGTGATTGGCATGGGCGAAGCAGATCCTGGCCTGGCCTTCCTGGGTGTGGAATGAATGGGGAGGATGGCTGCCCGTAGGCCTTATTTTAGCCTGGATTCTTTTGAATGTCTTGTATTTATCATTCCTGTGACCCCATTCGAACTCACCAGATTTTCTGGTGCATTATCATTTTCATCTACCCTCTGTGCCCTGAACTCACCAACTTTCCTTTTTGCAAAATTTATCTGAGCAATAATTTCTTCCTTGTCATTGTCCTTCACAAGCTCCGATTCTTCCTGATGTCCTTTAATGCAACTTTCTGCCACCAGATGGCCTTTAACTAAAATTCTAGTTATTAGACAAGGCCCTTGGCACAATGCTAGCAAGGTTGCCAAATGGAATCATCTGGCAGAAGCATGCTTCCTGGGACATCTAGCTCTTGTGCTTGGATAAATGCGTGGAGTGTTGGGCAGCCCGGGTGGCTCAGCGGTTTAGCACCACCTTCAGCCCAGGGCCTGATCCTGGAGACCCAGGATCAAGTCCTGCATCAGGCTCCCTGCATGGAGCCTGCTTCTCCCTCTGCCGTGCTCTCTCTCTCTTTTCTCTCTCCATTAATAAATAAATAAAATATTTAAAAAAAAATGTATGGAGTGCATTCACAAGGACATGCGTGTGTGTGTGTGTGTGTGTGTGTATTATGTATTACATATGTTTGCAGCTCTGCTTCTAAAATTTGAAACTTTATGTAGGCATGATTCTAGATTATATTTTTAAGCAAACTCTTGCCATGGAATAAGAATCACACACAGTGGACTAAAGCATGGGTGGCCTATGTATATCTAACTTTTACTAAATTTATTTTTTTCATTCTTCACTCTCATTTAAGAAAGACCTACCAAGGGATCCCTGGGTGGCACAGTGGTTTGGTGCCTGCCTTTGGCCCAGGACGTGATCCTGGAGACCCGGGATCGAGTCCCACGTGGGGCTCCCGGTGCATGGAGCCTGCTTCTCCCTCTGCCTATGTCTCTGCCTCTCTCTCTCTCTCTCTCTGTGTGACTATCATAAATAAAATTAAAAAAAAAAAAGACCTACCAAGAGCTTGCTATGATTAGCTGAATGTTTGTTCTGATGTTCTTGTGAAATTAAAACTATATCTTCCTCCAGCGGGGCCTTGACTTGGAAACTTCAGCGAGAAAATCCTGACATTTTCAAGCTAGAAGCCACCTGAGAGGTTAGCTCCTTGGACTAAGATTGCCAGATGAAATACAGAATGCCCAGTTAAATATTAATTTCAGATAAATAAGGAATACTTTTTTTACTCTAAGTATATCCCATGTAGTATTTGGGTCATAGTTACACTAAACCATTATTTGTTGTTTATCTGAAGTTTGAGTTTAATTGGACATCTTGTATTTTTTTTACTTGCTAAATCTGGCAACCCTGACCACTTTACCAGATTCTCTAAGGAAATAAGCTTTAAGCTAAAGCAGAAGGCTTAATTGAGATTTACTATATTAAATTGTCTATTGCTAGTCCAACTAGCAGGAAGAGAGACAGAGTAGTAGTTTTTAGCCTGAAGGCTGGAGAGGGAAGAGTGGAAAATAAACTCCTATTTTTATCTCTATGCTAAAGCCAGCTTATTGCTAGCACAAACATGGAAGCTATATAGTGCGGCCTCCCAGATTTAGTTGCTACAAAGACTTTAGTTACTATAAATAATAAATACAGAAATAACCAGAACTCTACAGTGGTCCTTAATGGTGGATTTTTATGGAGCCTTTGAAAATTAAGTACAGCCAGAATTGCAGTGGTTGTAATGTCCCAGTTTTGCTCCCTGTAACCCTTGAACTTTCTCCTCCTCCTGGTTTTGCAGGGCCTCCTTGCCTTTCATCTTCGCTGGATAGTTCATGGCTTTTAGTCCCTCGGCAGGAAGCTGGAACAAAAGCGCTGCCTCATTTCTCAGACAATGCAATCTGGGCCAGCACGCTCATAGAGCCTCTGAGTTTCACAAGTTTTGTTTCCTTTTTGAAAGATTTTGGTCAAATAGAGAATCATTCTATGATCTACCCTTTTCTTGCTTATTATGAAATACTTTCTTGAGTCCGCTGAAATCTATTTCAGCAGAACTCATTCAAGTGTCTATTGGCATTCTTTAGTTTGATTTGTTTTTGAGCCTAGATGCCACTGTACAGTTACTTCCATATCTGGTCATTCGATGGTTTTCTTGTATACTATGGCCATTTTACAGCTTTTTTGTTCTTTGGTTATTAAAATGCTGAAATTTAGGGAACCCCATTGGAAATGTTCAGGCTTCCCCACAGGAAGAGGTTGGTAAGCCAGTAAGGTTCTCATTACTTCACCACAAACCCAGGCTAATGGGGTCATAAGGTTTGGGGAACTTCCTCCAAGAATTACCATAATAGTAGGTGAAAGGTTGTATCACTTTGCTCAAGGGTCTCCTCAACAGCTAGATGGTCCATGTTGGAAACCCAGAGATTTGGAAATCTGCCCAGGGTGTTGACTCAACTTATTAATCTCATAAAGTATGCCCACAATTATTTTCTAACCATCCCCAGTGTGGAATGTTACACATACATAACACTTTGAATATAATGCCTATAGGAGCTCACAGCCTAACAGCATCTTACTTCAAATGTCAAACCTATATGTCAAACCTATAGATTTGGTAGCAGAGTGGGAGCATTAAGCTCTTCTGATGTCATTTGATTTTTTTATTGTTGTTCTTTTTGCAGTGCATTAGTTCAATTTTTCCTGCTGTTTCCTGAATATAAAGACAATGACTTTTATGCCACTGGGGAGGTAAGTTGAAGTTATGTATTCTCATGTGCTTCCAACATCTTCAGGACTGAAAAACGTCATGACATGGTGATTCATTCATTCGGTCTGTAGAATATCCCATTTTCTGAATTTGTCTGATTCTTTCCTCAATGCTTAGATTCACTGAAAACATTTGTATCCCATCAAGAGGCACATAATATCTGTTGGCCTCATTATTGGCGATGCTAAACTTGGTCACTTGGTCCAGGTGCTAACTGCCAGGTCTCACCATTGGAAAGGTACTCCTTTCCTTTTGAAATTAATAAATAATGTGAGACCAAGTGAAAATCTGTTCCCCCCAAATCTGTCACCCAATAGTCTTAGCATTCATTGATGATTCCTGTCTGAATCAGTTATTCTGCTGGAGTCTTTAAAAATGGTGATTTTGGGGGGAATCTGTCTTCCTATTGAAATTACCTGGTATTCTTCTATAGAGAAAAATCTTTCCCTCCTCTTCTCTATTATTTACTTTTAAAAATATCACTGTGGACTCATAGTTTGTCATTTCTGTTTGATGTGTTAAATTTTTGCCATTATTATTTTTAATATTCATATTTTCCATACTAGGTGGGGGAGCCTTTTCAAACTGGGCTTTGTGTCTTTTTGACAAGGCTCAATTAGTCTTTGAGCATTTCATTGCTTTTTGGCACAAATCTATGCTCTAGGATTGTCCTTTGGTCTCCCTGCCCTAACCCTGGAATCAGTCATTTCTTCAAGGAACCTGGCTCCTTTTAATGGGAGATGGTATTTAAAAACCAAGATCTGAGCACTAAGTATGCTCATTGCTATTGGGATGCCATTTCTTTTAGACTTTCTCTGTAGGCAGAACTGGGGAACAGAATGACTCCAAACTGCTACCCATAAATCTAATTCAACATCACAAGTTTCTTTTTTCCTTTCCCCATTCTGTGTTTGTATACCCCTTCTCCCACATTGTGGACCGTGTTTCCCAACAGCATCAGTGTATTTACCTCTTGGCTGAATCCTACAATATATGCAAAATGATTTTAAATTACTACATCAGTACCATTACCAGCAAGGAAACCTCCAACTTACTTTCAATATTTTTTTACTATAATTACTTATATCCTTAGACTATATTTCATTACAGGTTTAAAAGTACCATCTTTAAAAGTTATAAGAATTAATTCTGTTTTTTTCCTAGGGCGATTATGTTATAATTTATCATGCAGTTAGGTTCACTTGCATAGGTTGACTTCAATTTTAGGGTTTGCTTTTTTCATCCATTTAAATTTAAGGTTATTTTAAAAAATGTATAGCAGCCAATATTTTGAGAACACAAGAATCCCTAGGTGCTAGGTATACAACCATGAACAAAACAGGGCAATTTCTTACATTCCTACATTGTACAGGTGAAGGCAATGATAAATGAAGAAATAAAAATGCACTGTACATAAAGCATGAAAAAAGATAAAGCAGATGAGGGTTGCAGAGTGGTGGGGGTGCTATTCTGGATAAGATTGTCAGAGAAAGGCTCTTTGATATGGGGACAATCAGAGAGAACACTGAGTGTAGTACATGTAGTTTAGTGAGTGAGTTAGTGGAGCTATAGCTACAGTTATCTTGGAGAAGAGCTTTCCTGGAAGAAGGAATAGCAAATGCAAAGACTCTGAGTTGGAGACAGACTTGGTGTGCTCAAAGGAAAGCATGGAGCCACTGTAGAAAGATCTGAAATGAGAGAGGCAGGCAGATCATGTAGATGATCTATATCTAATATAGAATAAAGTCCAAAATAATGGGAAATCGTTGAAGGATGCAGTATTCACTGAAAGAGTAGTTAGAATCAAATTCAATTCAACACACGCATTTTGAGTGACTGCTATGTCTGAGGCATTGGACAAGTATTAGAAATTCAACAGTTGATAAGACTGACTCTACCCTGAATCTGAACACCTGGCAATAAGTATAATACTGAATGAAAAATACAATTAGAGAAGTAGTTATAAAGACAAATAACACGAGGACAGTGCAAATAGCTATGGGAGCTTCAGGAAATGCCAAGCAGGAGAGGTGACAATTAAACTGGATTTTGAAAGATGAGGAGGAATGTGTTTAGTCAAGGCTCTTAAACTTATAAGTGACAGAAACTCTGTTCGAATGACTTAAGTAAAACAGGAGAGGAGTTGATTCATGGCTGGGTCTGGGTGCCCAAACATTTTCATCAGGAATTTGTCTCTTATTCTTTCTTGATCTATTCACTAGGCTTTGCATTTTACTGGTTTCATTCCAAGCTGTGTTTTTTTCAGTGGTGCCCTTGTCCCTCTACTCCACTCCAGAGCTCTAGGTATAGCCTATCAGCTCAACTTTTCTTTCCCAATAATTCTACCCATATTGCTGAATCTCATGTGATCCATTTGGATCCCATGCCTATTCTAGGACTAGTAACTAGGGTCAATGGGATGGACATATAAGCTGGCCATAGTAGCACCAGAGAACCACCGCAGTGCTCTGGAAGGGGTAGGATCATAGGGGAACCCTCACCTTTTGAATCACAAGGCCTGAGAGTGGGAGATGAGTGAAGATGAGGGAAGATCCCAGTGATGATATCAGAGGAAGGGCTGGAAGGATGCTGAGCAAGCCCAAACCACAAATGTCTACTGTAAGAGAGTCAAGGTGAAAAATAGTCTCAGTTTTTCCAAGGAAATGACAAGTAAATGGAACTAGGACTTTCTTTCTCTTCCACCTGCTTTCTTCTCTTTCTATTTGGAAGGCTATTCTGTTTGGCATACTACCCTTACGTGTTTTTAAAGCCAATTATTTGGTCAAGATTGTTTAGGACCTCTATCAATAATTCCCTGCTGTTCCTTATCTTCTAACCCATTTCAGAGGCAGGCTGCGCAAAGGGACAGGAAGTGGCATTCCTGTCATTTTGGAAAGAACCCTGGAAAATACCCAGTCTACCTCTAACATAAGAGTGATCCGTTTACTGTGTAATTCCTGCCTTGCAAATAATGTGGTGATGTTGTTAACCGTGATGTTGGACTTTCAACAAAGCTGCCAAATTCTGGATGAAAAATTTGTCTATTTCATGTCTGCCAGTGGTTTTACGCATATAATTTTTGAATGTGTGTAGGAAAGGACAATTTTCTTTTTAAGTCCTTTGCTGCCAGGATGAATACTTTTAAGGAAACCTATGCCTTCCAAGTGATGAAGGAAGATGTGAATGAGGGCGGGCAAGACCTGGGATAGAGATGCAGTTGCCAGGCAGCATCATTTTCATATGAACTACTCGGGATACACTAAATCTAGGGTCCCATTTCTTTCTAGAAGGAAGAGCACTAAATAATAATACTGTGATGGTTCATTTTATTAGAATGCTATGTTCCTCCAGTCCAGTTTGTTCCATCTGGTCTCTTGTTTTAAGGCTAGGAGGCAGAATGGAAAAGTGGAAGGAGCTCTGGATTAATAATTGGAGACCTGAGATTCATTGCTGGCTTTGCCTCTCTGGATGGTTCCAAGGAAGTTCCTTAACCTCTCTTGGCCTCTGCTTTTCATCTTATAGTCAGAGGGTGTGGTTTTTAGATTAGATCACTTCCAGGGATATTTTGCTTTGCTAGGTGTTCAACTATAGTTACCTAGATGTATTCATAAAGTATCTGTATATGATTGCAATTTTAATATAATACTCACCCTCTTTCTCTCTCTCAAAAAAAAAAAGTTATGATAGACTTTTCCCGAAAGGGAAAAAGGGAAATCCTTTCTCTTCAGAACTCCATTTCCACACACCCTTAAGGAGGGTTGTTTAGGAGGCTAAACAAATAATGCCGCTAACATAATAGAACAGTCCTTGAAAAATAAATGGTAAATTCAGAAATGGTTTTCTGATTTTCAGTGCAAATGTACTGGACCTAAATATCCTTCCCATTTGTATACTATGAATGAGGATTAGCCTGATGCTCAAAGGGTTTGGAGCAGCTGTTCAGCACCCTGATTCTGGTGCAAGGGAGTCTGGAAATAATAACAATACCTACTACATAGGATTGTTTTGAGCATTTAATTAGATAATCCTCCTCAAATATTTAACGGAGTGATGGCTGTGGTGAGTACCCAACACATGATGACTATTATTACCATTCATGGTGAAAAGCTGGATTAATATATTATGGCTCCAAAGCATATGGCCTAATGCATGTAGACAGGGGCTGAGATATTTAAAAAGTTCTCACTTATTTTGGGGATGTAGCATTGTCTCTCCTATTATTTTGAAATCATCTCTTTTTTTTTAAGATTTTATTTATTTATTTGAGAGGAAGAGAGAGAGCACATAAGGGGAAAGGGTCAGAGGCAAAGGGAGAAGCAGACTCCCCGCTAATCAGGGAGCCAAATTCTGGGGCTTGATCCCAGGATGCCAGGACTATGACCTGAGCCTAAGACAGATGCTTAACCAACTGAGCCACCCAGGACCCCCTGAAATCTTCAAAAGAAATTGTTTGCTTTGTCTAAAACATTGTGATGGAGTTTAGAAATTGATATTTGAAGTTCTGGATAGTAGCAAAATGTCTCCAACCGGACCCAGGCTCCTTGCCCCTGGCAAGCCCACGACATTTGAATGACGTCAGTATATGTCCACTTTTCAATTTGACCTAAGGAAGCACTACTAGGTTTTGGGTGTTGTCTAGGTGTTTGAGAAGCCTAAAGTCATTAAGATAAAACCTAACATCAAAAAACTGGAAGCCAAGTAACTTGTGCAGAAGGAATACACAGAAAACTTGGGATGGTTTGGTTAGAGTATAATTAGGGGAGGCTGTGCATAAGGTAAATTTTTCTGGTTTTCAGAAATTGACTGTAATTTTTTTGATATGCTAGTTCAGTTTTTAGTAGCAAATGTGTATGTAGAGGATCTTATTAAAATTGAGACTTATTTGAAAAAAAATTGAAATTTGCAGGCAGTGTGATGCAGGGGGAAGAGCTGCCTGTCTCCTTCCCTTCTTCTCCCCATTTCTGCCCAGAACACCAACTGG